ACACACTACTAAAAAATTGTTATATTCGAACGAAAAATTTTATGGTAATATATTCCCATGAAAATTTCAACGAATATATTCTAATGGTATAGCTTCAGTTGGAACCATTCAAATGGAAATTCCAATGAATATATACCATTAGAATGAGCTTTCTATTTGAATATTAGATGAAATTTGATGATTCCAATGGCTATTTTTCTAACGATTTTTTACCGTAGGAGTTTCCGTTGGATTTTTTATTCCACCGCTGTTGGAATCACCAAAATCCAATAGAAATTCCAATGGAAAACTCCTTCCAACGGAATATTTTTGTTAGAATTTCCATTGGAATCCATTGAAAAATTCCAACGGAAATAATAGCATTGGAATATCCATTGTGAATTGTCGTTGGAATTCCATTGGAATATATTTCTGTTGGAATTTTACATTGGAATTTCATCATTTTCTTGTAGTGAGTCTAGTGACACATTGAAATTGATATCATATATATGCCACGCATATAGATATATATAATAGTAAATGCTAAAACTATCGCAATTTAGGGCAACTTCCACCTTCATTTGTATATGTAATTATTTACCTCACTAATGGACTGTGCGCCCACGAGCTTCTAGGTTTGGATTTAGACAAACATACACATTTACCCGTGCTCCCATGAGCTTCTAGGTTTTGATTTAGACGCACATACCCACGTGGGTGAGTGAAATCAATATCTAAATAGCAAAGGGAACTCTCTGTGATGACATTGAACACTCACATGTTGAACCATAAATTTCAATGAATAAACTGCTTTTATATTGGAATTTGGTAAAGTTTCATATGCCATTGGAAAATCAAAGGAATCTAGTTTCCATCAAGGGACCAGGTCCACCCTCCAATTCGATCACCGCTACGTTGCGCTTGGTAAAAACTCGTAACACTCACGATACCAAGGAAATTTATGCCAACGAAAAAATGTATGAGCATTGATCTCTTCCTGTGTATTATATTTTAAACTTTTTAGGGTTATGATTGCGCTGCAAAATGAATGAACAAAC